AGAGGTGCCAGCTGGGATTAAAGAGTCACACTCAGAGTTGAAAGAAGACTCAGTTTTATTTACACCAGCAGAAACTTCAGAGATACAAACTAAACACCGTCAGTCCAGTTCAGTCAGTTTATTGGTCCATGTGGCCATCGTCTGGCCAATGAGAGAGCAGAGTAACACCACGTCAGTTCCTGATTGGTCAGAGGGCCATTCGGCTGACCCCGGTGACCTCAGACAGAGATCTTGGTGTTCCTGAAGCTCGAGTTGTCCCTGAAACCAAAGACAGAGGAGGTCTGACTGCTTTATCAGGATCGTTTCCCACAATGCATTTCACCAGTCTGCAGTGACAAGTAGGGCTGGGCCACATTATACCGTTCACGGTAATACCGGTACAATGCTAGGCAACGATAAGATAAGATACACAACAAAGCACATTTTTTTGTAGAACATGCAAGCGGCCGTCGTTATTGCCGTATTTGTCGGACTAAGGCGCTCGTAAATCTGGGAGTAATCTGGGTCCTAAACTCCGTCCTTTAAGGTCCCGAAGTCAAACGAGAGTTACTGAGAGTTAAAAACTGTCTAAATTCTTTCATCTTTAATAAAATCATCAGCGTTGCTGCTTTACCAGGTGTAACTATGAAGTTTAACATCCATGAAAACAGAATTTATTACACTTAACAGAGTTAGAAGCTAGCAGGAAGCTAGCAGGAAGCTAGCTCGCTAGTTTTGCTAGTTAGCTAAACATGATATAGGATGTTCTGACTGAGATTTCTGAACAAATTCAAACGTACAGCTCTGTTATCACTTCCAACATAAATGAAGACAGGAAACTAAACAGCAGTGACGTTTGTAGGGTTACTGAAGGTATATAATGTTGTGCTACGTGGTGGCTAGCGACACAGCTGTGTTAGCATAACATAAACAGTGAAGCTGGAGGATGAACGCTAACACTTTTCCACTCAATAAAAGTTAACGTGAAGGTTCCTGATGGTCAGGGACAAATGCAATCGCATGGCAGGATGCTGTAAACGGACCAAACTTCAGTCAGGAGAACAACTGAGATAATCCATCCACAATACGAGGTTAGTGATTAATATACTGCAACAACATGGGAACAGAGCCGCTGCAGAGAATTCAGCATTAATGAATCAATGGTACAGAAGTGGAGGAAGAAAGAAGAATGAGTTGAGTAAAGTTTGATTTATCTGACTGCTCTGTTTCACTTAATGTGTAATTAATGTAGCAAAGCAGCTCTTTTTAACTTCAGTGGATATTATACATGGTTATGCTCAGGATATGTCGGCCCATTTCTACTGGAAATGCCTTTTGGTTAAACTGTCAGCAAGGAATTTGCATTTGCACTGTTAAATGTTTATATAGCTTTAATGCACATAAAA